ACTGAACTACAAAACCTTAAGCAAACCATTTAACAAATCAGTGCCCTAGGCAACTCTAAAATTTTAAGTGTTGGAAGAGATGTACAGTTCTCAGTGGCGAAAGGGAGCTTCCTCACCAGGAGTCTCCCATACCAACGAAGGCCAAAAAAATGGGGGAAAGGAGAATAAGTCACATTTTTACAAATTGTAATTCAGTTACATTTATAGAATAGAAAAAAGTAAATTTAAGAGTATGATCTAATTAAAGAAATAGATTGAATTTGATTATTGGTAAATATAAACTGAATAACCCATGGCACAGTGGGAAGAATACTGGATATAGAATAATAGAACCTGAGTTCACACCTTGGTTTTGCCACTTACTACATGTGTAGTCTGTTTAAATTCTCTTTCTAAAACAGAATTTTTTAGATTCTTTATTTCTTGTTTTGTTAATCTCACTGATTTTTTTTTGTACAGATTCATCCATGTAATTTAAATTCACATAATTGGGCAGACTGACTTCTCATTCATCTTTTATTACCTCTTCATTACTTATGAATTCCTCCTCATTTTTAATTTTGGTAATTTGGTAATTTGCTAGCTCTTGAGTATAAATAGTTTTAATCATATTAAAGGAAAGTCATTTTACTCCTAAACTACTATCGTGTTAAACTGAGGGATGCACTCTTCTTAATTTAATCACTTAATGGTTTAATTCTTTTTAATTTTAAGATCTTTAATTTTGTTTATATGCTTAATTATGTCTCTTCAATTTTGGTTATCTCTTCTTTGCTTTTCAAAATCACTACTTTTATATTTGTTCTGAGATTATAATTTTGTTAACCAGTTTGTTGATGTAGGTGTTGACCTCATTTAGTCTTGGAACATGTTATTCAGCCTTTTTTGTTACATCATGTGTTTTCAGTGATTCGTATGCTACTGATAATGTTTCTGAAAGCTTTGGGCATGCTACCTTTAAAAAAAAGAATTTTCTCAATACTTTTAGTGATGTATCACTTAATTTAAAGCAGCTACTTATTTACTGGACTGGCCAGCTTGGTATTGTTAGACATTCTTGTACCTCAGGTCACCCTTCTCCAGGATTTTGATACTTAGCCCTAAAACCCAACTGTCCTTTTAATTGTTATTTATGAAGCTCAGAAACAGTGATATATGGTTATCAAATGATTGTTTTATGCAGTATATTTCATTATTTTTTTTTAGTTGGAGGTATCAATAAATAGAGTAAGTAGCCACTGTCTAACATTACTTAACATTAAGATTATGGAATTATAAAGGTTTAAAATTGGAACAATCCTTACACATTATTTAGTCCAGCAATCTCATTTTACATATGAGAAAATGGAGGCCCAGAAATGTTAAGTTGACCCTGATACTAGATTATAAAAAGTGGAGGACATTATTGGAATAGACTAAATAAAGAAAACTTAGACTGACATCCCAGAAAGAAATGCATCCAGTAATCTAATATACAACAAATCTTAACACATTAATGGTCCCTAAAAGAATAGCTGGCAAAACTAGAAAAACAAAGTCCAGGAAAAATTACCAAAAATACATAGAATAATAAATTTCAAGTGGATAAAAAACACAAATACAGAAAATCTTAGTACAAAAATGTAGAGAACAGAAACTTACATCTATTATAGCTAAGGATTCAGCAAAAATTCATAGCCAGGCAAGGACAAAAGAAATCATAAAAAGATAAAATATAATCTTGATTACATAAAACCAAAAGTGTTTTAACACAAAATCAAAGTGATTATTATCAGAAGAAAAGACACATATTTGGAAAATATTTGCATTAAGTGCCTTTGATAAAAATATTGTATCCAAAATATATATTTTAATTGACTGAAAAACCTAAGATAAAGGCTATTCCCTAATAGACATATGGTCACAGAATATTAACAAACTTTTAAAAAAGAGAAATTCAATCAATCAATAGTCACATGGACATAATATTAAAAATCAAAAACAGAGGAATGCAAATTATAATAACCCTAACATGTTACCTCAGCCTTATTAGTGAAAAAAATTTTTAAAGGTAGAAAAACATTGGTAGAATGACTTTTAAGAAGCTGTTGTTGTTCAGTTGTTTAAGTCGTGTCCAATGCTTCATGACTCTATTTGAGGTTTTCTTGGGCAGAGATGCTGGAGTGGTTTGCTATTTCCTCCTCCAGCTCATTTCATAGAAGAGGAAACTGAGGCAAACAGGATTTAGGGATTTGACCAGTGTCAAACAGCTAGTAGGTATCTGCGACCACATTTGAACTGAGGTCTTTCTTACTCCAGGTCTGGCACTCCACCCATTGTGCCACCTAATTGCTACTTTTAAGAAGACAAGGATGCTAATTCAATGTTAGAGATGTGAATTGGTTTGACCATTCTGGAAAACAATTTAACATAATAGGAGAAAAGTTATTCAATTGTTCAGACCTTTTGACCCATAGATTGTAATATTGTACCTAAGCCACAAGGAGTCTGAGAAAAAAGATGTAGGGATGCAAAAATATCTTTAGCAGTGTTTATGAAAATAAGAAACTGAAAACAAAATATTATATGAATACAAGGGAATATACACCATGAGGTATGATAAATATAAAGAATTCAGAAAAGATCATTAGAGTTGTAGAAAGTGATAGTGAATTAGAGCCAACTATATATATATATATATACACATATATATATTATATATTTATATTTATATATTTTTATATATATTTATAAAATAACTTCAACAATGTTGTCAACAAGTCAATATTAAGAGGCACTAAAATTTCAGTTGAGTAAATGGTTTATGCCAACTTCATCCTATGATAGGAAGTTTTTGATGGTTAAACCTTGATAGTTAAAGAATATTTACCTTCTTTCTGTTAACAGATCAGGAAACAATTTTCAGGGAATTTATTATATACATGGTTTGTTATTACTACTTGAAAAATATATCTAGCATTAAAACAAAATATATTATTTTTTGAAACTAATCTGTGTATAATTCAAATCAGAAACAGTGATAAAAGTGAGAATATACTTCAATCTAAACAATTTAAACAAGTTATCAATACCAAAAGTGTGAAAAAACCAATTTGCTCCAAAAGTAAAGATACTATTACTTAAAAAATAGAAGTGAAATAAAATAGTTCTCATAATAAGGAGATCAAAAGGAACCAGAAATCTTACTCAATCAACATGTAATCTCTTTGCCAAGTGGAGGAACATAGCAGCATGTATTTAGGTACAAGCAAGTTTGCAAACCATTATGGAGGACGAAGACGATAGAAGTATTATAAGTAATCTTATTAAATGGTAAAAACAGGGGCAGCTACATGGCACAGTGGGTAGACCACAGGCCCTGGAGTCAGGAGGACCTGAGTTCAAATTTGGCCTCAGACACATGATACTCACTAACTGTGTGACCTTGGGCTAGTCACTTAACCCCACTGCCTAGCCCCCAAAAAAGAAAAAATGGTAAAAAAACAATTGAGGAGAAAATTAATCTCTAGAGAGCTTTTCCTAGGATCCACCTAAACCAGATCATCTTGACAACAACTACGCTTCATATTAGATGATAGCAAATAGTTGCAAATGAAAAGAAATCTTATGGAACTTTTATGGTTTTATTTTCACTGATGAAGACAGTAGAACCACAAAGTAAGACTTTTACCTCATAATTCATTGATATTCCATGTAAAGAAATAACATTGGCACTGATGAGGATGAAGGTGGAATTGTGATAGAACCTAACCAAATTTTTGCCAAAGATTTGCCAAAGAGAAGCTTTTTCTTTTCTAGTAGGAAAGTATGATAGAGCAGAAATCAGCGACCACTAACACATACACTTGCCTTTGAATCTCTATAAAATCTTTCTGAGACTTGTTTATATAAGCATGGAGAATAGTTTTGATGAAAACAGATCTGATATAATCAGAATTTTGATTTTCTACAGTAAGATCCATATATATGTGGTTATACAATGTCATAGAAGAAACATTTTTTCACAGTTTCGTCGAGGCCATGAGAACAGGTTCTTAACTCTACGAGACCAAGTAAATTTGCAAAGTCAAATAAGAGTAAGACTTTTTCTTGTTTTTTTTTCTGCTTCTCTGTTCCCTCACCTAATTACAATTCTCAAATATTCCACAACACAAGTATGTAAGTGGAGTTAACAAATGATGCCTTGTGTTCCCACCAATCACTATCTTAGTTTCCCTGGGAAGGGAAGACATTAGGAAAACATCACTGACATGCCAAGAGTTACGATATTTCCAATACGTAAAAAGCAAACCTGGAAGTTATTTTTCTTTCTCCCTGCTCTCCCTGAAAGTTGATCTGACAGCTAGAAAGGAAATGGAGAGTTATCATAAGACTAGAACCTTGCTGTATCATGCTGTATCTGAGACTAAGTGCTATTCCAGGTATCTATACATATGTCGCAGTGATAGGTAGTGGCTTAGGTGGAAAGAAGAAAATATATGAAATCATCTATTTTATTTACATGGCATATTTTTCCTCCCATCCCTACTTTCAGGCAAATATTACAGAATAATGGATTAAAGGCATATCATTCTGAGTTCAAGACATTGCATCGTCTTACTCAAAAGTATAATAAAGAGTTCCTAAGAAGCCATGGGGATATTTGCTATTCAAGAACAACTAAAAAGTTTCATGGAAGTTAAGAAATTACAAAAATTATATGGATTTACTATTTATATAATTTTTATTTATGGTATATATGTGTGGTATATTTGTATATAACATATTTTACTATGTACACATAGATTTTGATTGTAAAACAAAAAATCATATGGTTTTATTTTGCAAAAACTTCATATTCTTTTGTTATTATTGAATATGATTACATATAAAGCATTTTCCCCTATGCAGCCCATCTGTCTGATTCTATGATTATGATCAGATTTATATCTACATGGCCAAAACATTCTAAAAGGAACATCAGGAGTTCCCATAGTAACTCTTGGGATAAATTGCTACATGTTTTTCTAATATGGAGCTTTGTAACTGGGACTTATTTACAGACTGAAAAATCTGACAGGTGAACTAGAGGTGAGTTGAAGTACAGAAGCTGCTCAGAGTTTAAGACTGTCACCTCATTGAAAACTGATACTAGATATATCCCATTCATTGACTGAAGATAAACCTTGTCTTTGAAAAGGCACTCTTTGGAGGTAATGACTTTATAATCATGGGAAGGTCTATGTTGCTGAAAAAAGAATTGGTCAGGTATGAGTACCAGAGAAATGAAGAATGTCCATCTAGTCCAATTTCACACTTAGTAGGATGCAGACTACTATTACAAGTTGTTCACACATATTATTTGCCTCTTTTTTATTTATCTTTTCTATTACTTTCAAATAAAATCTTCTGTATTTTGTTATCCACAGAAAATGTTGCTTCCATGAAAAGGAATAACAAGAAGAAACGACCCACGTTTTCAGAATCACTTTGGAGATATATTAAAGAAATGATGAAATAAAGGAAGATGTTTACCTCTCACAAGAAAGGTATTTATAAGAAAACTCCCTCAGAGGAGATGTTATTTGAAGATGGAGTTATATTTGTGACAAATAAAAATACTGAAATGTGTTGCTTTCAACAACTGTGACTTTACTAGGCCACAGATGCTTTAGGTGAGGTTATGCTAAATAATGAAAGGTCTAAGTACATTGTAAAATATATTTTTATATTATTAATTATGACTTTTTAATGAGCATAAAATATTTTCATTGAAGAGAAGAATGAAAAAAATGTTTTATATAGTCATAAAATTCAAGTAAACTAGAAAAATAAATTATCTTCTAATTGGAACAAATTCTGAACTGTATGTTGATGATATATGAGAATCCTCTTGGCTTTAAGTATAGCTTTTGCTTGAACTATAACAAAAAGAATAAGGTTTTTGTAAACAGAAATGTTTGGTTTTCCCAAACTCCAGGAAACACATAGACAAATACACACACACACACACACACACACACACACACACACACACACAGATTCTGAATGAGACACTATGTATAACATCATAATAGTCTTGTCCAAAAGGTAGCCATTTCATAGACTTACTGTATGAGTATGGTATACATAGATACACATAAATATATGGGTTTAATGTGACATTAGAGGAAAGATATATTCCAATATAACTATTCAGATTCTACCAGTTTAAGTTATACAACTTTGAAAGCTGTTTTAGTTACTTAAAGTTCAATTCCCAATTATTTGGTAAATTTAGTTAGTTATACTAAATTCAAAACCATTTATCAAAGAGAAGCATAATTTATTAATTAAGCTTATGTAAAGAAGTCATACATGTACTTTGTTTTATTATATTCCCTTCCTACCATATTCCCCCTTTTTTGCTCTTAAGATTATTTTATTTCTAAAGAGGACAAACATAATATTATAAATTACATTTTGATTACACCAATAGGCAGACATAAATTTGATTAACAGCTAGTTGGAAGGTCAGTTTTTAGGAAACTTTGGAGGAGGCTGGGCTTTTAAAGGTGTATTAGGAAATAACTGTTGAGATATTTTGTACTTCAGTAAAACATCATATTTAATGGAGAAAAAGGTTTAGACATTCTAAAATTTTCTGGTTTTAATATTATTTCATCTGTTAGTTGAGTGAATTTATGTCGATTTGGCAGTTTTACAAGAGATTCATGTAAAACTCAGAATCCATGAAGTGAAAGACCTTGAATTTAGGGTGAGGTGGGGGCAGGGAAAGGAAATTTTTCTGAGGCCAGCAGCAGCTGGATGTTGTTGAGAGGCCTGAAAACTATCAGTTGAGATCTTTGGAGGGTGCTTATAAATCAAAACGTTATTTTTATTATTAAATCATCGCAGGATGATGGCCACAGCATTTCACTCGCCCAAAACCTTTCCGGATAATGACAGTCTGTCCACCTGTATCTTCGTGTACCCTGCCTGATTCGGAGTGAGTGCATTGAATTGAGGAGATATCACTTACGACTGAATTTTTCATCATGGCTTTGACAGTGAAGCCGTCAGAAACCAGGGAGTGCGGCTGGTGCACCGGGAGTGGCTGTTGCGGCTGTAGTTTGGTCCTCTTCATCATCTTCTCTGGACTTTTATTTAGGTTCAGGGTCTCTTTTTCTGCCACCATCTTCCTAGGAAATGTCTTGTGCCCACATCCAGTGCTTTAAGAATGACTGGGAGGTGGAGGGGAGGAAGGGAGGGACACAGCCGGAGTGGGGTTATGGAGAGTAAAAACGGCACTGTTATAGTAATAAATGAACCCTCCAGGTCCTGCCCGGGTTTGCTCCTAGTTCCAGCTGTTTGGCAGCTCCAAGGTGAAGAGGGAGTTTGGGGGAGGGGAGGGGCAGAAAGGGGGGCAGGACCGTATTCTGCAGCTGCAACAGGCTTCCAAAGGTGCTCAGCGAGGTTGCTAGGCAACGTATCAACATCGCAGCGGAACAGTCTCCCAGTGACGTAGACATTCGAGGCCAGGAGCCCTCAAAAGGCCTCGGGGCGGGGGCGGGGCGAGGAGGGGCGGAGTAGAAAATGAGCAGCAGGTTCCGCACTACATCTCCCAGAAGGCCTCAGGGATATATGTGTGTGGAGATCTGCGCTTGCGCATTACTTCCACCTTCACCCCCGTGTCTTCAGGGGGCGGGGTAGGGAAAGATGGGGGCGAGGGCGGGGACAGAGAGAGGAGGGATCTGAGGGCTTTAAAGCTGGAAACGCTGGTTGTGGGAGGCGAGCGCGGGGCCTCGGGGCAGGCCTCTGTGCGAGTGTTAAGCCTCCTTCGCCTGTCCTGAGAGCCACCACCTGCCCTGTGACCATGATAGGTACGTGGGTGTCCTCCAGGTACAGCTGCTTTCCGCCGCCTCTTCCCTCCCCCACAATGTGCTGGTTCTTTACGCAGGTGTGAGACCCTGCTGGTCACTGTCAAGGACTGTCTGGGTCACCTGGTGAGGTGAGGGGTGATCTGAGTGTCCCAGAGTCATGCCTCTCCGTGTGGAGGCCAGAACGTGAGATTTATTCTGGCCTCTGGCTTCCCTGATTCCACCCCCCCCCCCGCCCATACTTAGGGCTACAGTGTCCCCTTTCCCCGACCCCCCGCAGAGAGGCAGGTGGTGAGCCCGCCCACCCTTCCATTCTCCAGTGGGTTGTGTGAGACGAATAATCTCCTCCCCCAAAAAGGAGACCATCCAAAAGACGTCACCTTAAAAATGCCCCCTGGAAATTTACCCCTCCCCCACAAGCCCTGGAAACCTTCAGAAACTGTTGAGGTTTTTCGAAGGTCAAAGGCGCCCCTGGTTTTTTCATGCTCATGTTTTCTGCCCTTCTCATGCTTGATCCCACCCCCCTCCCACTCTCCCTGCCTTATTCTGTCTGCAAGCAACCTTTGACCATCCCAGGGAAACCCCCTGAAGCAGGAAACGAAAGTGACATGCCATGATGTCAGCTGTGATGTCAAAGGTTATTCCAACGGGATTTTAAATTTCTTAAAGTCCTTGACTTGTTTTACTTAAGGCCCTATTTGAGGGGGTGTTTTGAAGTCTGGGACAAAATGAGAGATACGTCTCTCTCGAGATCTTGTGATAGATGGAAATGGAAAATAGCTTAAAAAAACTTCTTTTAAAGTTAGAGGTTTTCTTAGTATTGTTAAGCAAAATAGTGACCAAGTTTGTTTGTTTGTTTTTCTCCCTATAAATTTGCCCCTGAAAATTAATGGAAAAAAACATGCTTAGGACCATCTTTATGGGACTGTCAATGACTTGTCACAGCCAATGTTCAGGGTTTTATGGAATTGGTTTGGGGGTTATAGTTGGCACAATGAGTATTACTGATACAGTATCTTTAATTGTTGCAAGTGAATATTTGGAGCCAGTTCCATCCATAAATGTTCAGAAAACATACTGCTGTGTTTATGTGTGGTACTTGTTTATTTTTAGAGAAGCACTCACTTCTTAAACATTTTAATTTTGTTATAAAATTAATGATACAATGTAAAAAATATTCTTCCTATCACTGAAGAAATAATGTTACTTGGATACATAAAAATAGGCTATGTTGAGTTTTGAAATCCTGATGACACCATTGGTAGTCCTTTCCTTACCCCTTCTAGCTTAGTACTGCTTTCAGTCAAGGACCCCAATTAAGGTTTGAAAAGTATTAATAATAAAACACCTTTGTATATGACTTTTTAAAGTTTACAAAATACTTTCTCCACTACTACCCTGGGAGCTAGATAGTGTTAATATGAATATCCTGTTTTATAGAGAACCAGAAAGATAAAGTGACTCCCATGATCTTGAAGCTAGCAGTAGAACTGGAATTAGAAACTAGGTCTCTTAACTCCAAGTCCAACATGTAATTGTCACAAACCAGATAAGTTCATGTTTACGCAGACCACTTGGGCAACATGCAAACCTTCACAAAGACAAAAAAACAAATCCAAAGAATAGACATTTATAATAAACTTTACATAGGGAACAGGTCAAGAGAGAGAAAAGAAACACCAGTGCACTGATTAGGAAAGTTTGGAATACTTGGTCTAATGTATTTTGGATAGTTTCTGAATTTGGTCATGTATTGCCATACATTGTTGTACCTTTTAGTTAGTAACCTTTCCACTGTACTCTACTACTTTATATTTCAGTGGATATGATCATGGACATGTCATGACCAGTAGAGCATATGACCTGGTAAATTGTAACAAGCCAAAAGGATTCTGCATATGGCCCCAGTGAAGGGCTATTTATCTGTATTCTGGGGATCATCCTATGTCAGAAGGTCAGCCATAGAGGCTAAGACTAAATCATGGCTCAGTAGGAAAAAAAATATGTTGGATTTGAAGTCAGAGAATCTGAGTTTGAATCATAGCTCTGCTACTTATAATTGGGTAAGTCATTTAAGTCACCTGAGCATCAATTTCCTGTTGTGTAAAATTAGAAGAGTTGGGCTGGAATATCTCTGAGGTCCCCTGCAGCTCTTCATCTATTATCTTATGCAATCAAGATTTGAAATATGACTCGTAGAGGGGTTATGATGAGCATCAGTGGAAGGAGGACTACATTGACAAAATTTCAGTACCTTGAAGTATTGAAGTAAGGAAAATCAACAGATGTTAAAATAGCCATGTATGTTTGTATATATAAGATATATATGTATATTTTAAATAATTATATGTAAGTATACATATATAATTATTTTAAAATTATTGTAGCTGGCTTTAATCTAAGGGCTTCATTTAACCACAGATTATCAACTAAGAAGTGATTATTAAAAAAAACCCAACAACAGTAGATGGATAGAACACATCCTATAGTGTTTTGGTGATTTGGGAAAACAAGAAAGTAAATACTATAGTTGATGCTTTGATTAGATAATGTTGTGACCCTCACCAATAACTGATGCAGATGCCTCAGAGTAGAACTCTTTAGAAGTTTATTTTTTAACATAACAATGGAAAATACATGATTAAACGTTGGAAAAAAGGGAACATGTCACAGAAAGTGGTAGAATTAGGAGTCATGAGACCTGAGTTGAAATCTTGGCTCCTACAGTTATGAGTTATATAACCCTAGGCAAATGATTTAATTTTTCTGAGTTAAGAGTCCTCATCTGTAAAATGTCCATGTTACTTGTACTATCAGTCTCTTGGGACTTTTGTGGGAAAAGCACTTTGCAACCTTCCTGCGAATTATTTTAAATGCCATATCTAAAAAAGCCAAGAGGGCATCAGATGATAGAATGTGGACCACAGACTTGAAAGATGTATAAATTTTAATATAACATTTGTGTGTATTTTTCTGTTATTATAAGAAAAACCATACTGTGATTTTACTGTTACTAGGTCATTACACTGAGGAACTTATTTAGGCCTCCATGAACATGTCATATTTTTTAAAATTCTTTTAGGAGTTCAAAAATTCTATGTATTTTTTGAATCATTAACTCAATTCTGTATGCTTTTTACATTTTAATTGCCATGCTTATTCTCATGAAAATAGATTGTACTTTTTAGTCATTATCTTTTTAAAAATAGAGCATTTAGAACACAATGTTTTACTCAATAATTAAATCTAAAATGAGTTCATGTAATTTTGAGGTGGCATAGTTGAAAGTGAAGTAAATCCATTCCTATTTTCTGCTTATTGAAAGTTTTGGATTTTGATAGTTCATGTAGGACTGAGATACTAAGTCTGGTTCAGAAGTTTGTGCATTTGTGATTAAATGTTTAGAGCCAGAACAAGCACTGTGGCCTTCACCTAAGGCAAATCAAGGACTTGGTCAAGAAGATTGCTGACATTTAGTATGGATACTTGGAGCTCTGCCAATGGCAATTATACAGGGGACTTGTACCCTTTAATGACTATGCCACTGTGTAACCTCTTTAAAAAATTTTCCAGTAATGTCTTTGAAAAATACTAATATATTATAGTTGATAATACCAAAATATTATGCTGTGTGCATGTTAAATAGTACTGTACTTACATCACAAAATTATTGTGTAGGAAGAGACTTTAATATACCATTTAGTTTATGCCCTGGGCTTTTAGGAAAGACGGCATTTAAACTATCATAGTTGGAAGAGAACCTCATTTCAGAAATAATGGGTTTTTAAGTTAAGTAACTTCACAACAAAGATAACCCAGACCAACATCTCATTTTCACATCTAATGTAAATGCTCAGTGCTTCAGTTTAAACATTTTTTCCTCTTTGTCCTCAACAGAGAGAAAACTGTTGACCATCTTCTCTGTAATAACTCTTTACACATTGCTTTTGTTAAAATACAGCATATTTATACTTAAAAGATGTGCTTCAGCCTTTTATTAGCTAAGCCAAATTATTTTAGCCCTATCCCTCAAAAACCTTATTTTCTAATATGTTTCCTATGTATCTTATTTGAGTTTTTTTATTTATCCCATGTCTAGAAAACACCTTGACACTTAAAAAACATTTTTAAAAATCTATTAGAATTTTGAAAAAAATGACAAGTCTTAAGGTGGCATGAAAAAAGGAACCATAGAGGAGGATTAAGTTAAGGCAGGCAGGGTATTAGTTGGCATCCTAGAAAGAAGAATGCCTTTGGTACCCAGATAAATTTGGGCAAAATTATGTTTTCCTTTGTTCTGTAGAATAATGTCTAATTTCTGACCATGCCAGTGACAGCCTTGTAAGCTAATAGACAAGAAGGATCAGGGGTGGGGAACCTGTGGCCTTAAGGCCTTCTAGGTCCTTGAGTGCAGCCTTTCGACTGAGTCCAAGTTTTATAGAACAAATCCTTTTATTAAGGGGATTTGTTCTGTGAAGTTTGGATTCATTTAAAGAGCTGCACTTGAGGACCTAGAGGGCCACATGTGGCCTCGAGGTTGCAGGTTCCCCAACCCTACAAACTTTTTCACTTGGATTGATATTAGAGCAAAATGGGATGAAGAAGACTGATC